AAAAAAAAAAGAAAAAAATCAAGTAGGATATATTTGAGTGAAGAAGAATACATAAAACCTAGAAACATGAAAATGCCTTGTTATATGGCTTATATATCCAAGACAATATGACATGACTGAATCAAGCTAAGAAAAATCTAGAGAAGAGATTATATTTAATTCATTGTTCTTTAAGTAGAGTCATTCTTGGACCCTTCTAGGTGATTAAAAAATATTTTGTATGTTTACATGAAACTACAACACACAGAGAAGAAAAAAAACATAAGCTCACTATTTATAATTTACCTTCTAAAAGAAATTCCTCTCAACATACAAAGTCAGAGGTTTTATTTACTTGGTAGCAGGCCACCACCGGTTGAATTGATACTCACAGTCGAGAATCACAACTTCAATGATTGTGTCTTAAGATGTAGTATATTAAAAAAAAAAGATGCCGTATATTATATTCATGTATAACCCCTTTCCATCTTGGAATTGGAGATAGTAAGCAATATATACTAATATACTTGGGTCAAACCCCATTAGCACAAATAATAAACTTTAACAGCTTGCTTGACAAAACTATTCTATTGTGTAAAATAGACTGAATACAATGAGCAATTTAATCTGACTAAAAACATTATTATACAATTAGTAAAATCAAATACACACTGTATATTTAGTGACAGTGAGGAATTTTTAATTTTATTTAGTACTATAATAGTATTTGGTGCTGTGTGTGTGTGTGTGTGTGTGTGTGTGCGCGCGCGCGCACATGCACGTGTATTCTTATGTGTGAGAGATACTTTTAAATAAAAATGCATGTGTTATCATGTAAGATTTCCAAATCTCAGAACTAAACTCTTTCACAGTTGTTAAGGACTTGAAACACCATTTAGCCTGAGCATGAGAAGGTATCAATTTACATGCTAACTCCAGTTTAATAGTTCTGCTCTCAGATAGATGAAATATTGGTCTCATTAAGACTCAAAGGTTGAAAAAAGTACTGAGCCCTTATTGATACCTTCCAAGCAGAAGGGGGTTGGGGGGAGCAGAGATAGGAGTATATAGGCTACATTTCAATCCCCTTTGGAACCTCCAATCTAGGAGTATTTCAGGGACCTTAGTATTACTTACTAAGTATTACTTAGTATTACTTACTAAGTCAATGTATAACATATTTAGGCAGCTCTTTCTATAAAATTGTGATTTTTTTAAAAATATATATACTTGAGCTGAAATCTTATTTTTTGAAACCTAGAACCTCATGACACAATGATGAGTCTAATTCCTTTTTAGGTTGACAGTGTTTGAACTATTTGGGACAGTCTTCTGTCCTTTCCAAGTCTAAAATATCAGTTTCTTCAACCACCTCTTATACAGCATCGTTTCCTCCCTGCCTTTACTACATGTCAGCAACAGGTGTCAATTTGTGCCTCTCTCTTTTCCCACATGATACACTGAGACTTCTCTGTTGACTAATAGTGTTATAACATAGTCTCTAAAAGATCTTTAATAAAACAAAACAAAACAAAACAACCTCAACACATTGCTATTGAGTTGGAATCAACTCATAACTGACCCTCCACTGGGTTTCCAAAGCTAAAAGACATGTAAGGAGAAACTGCCCATTTTTCCCCCCAAGGAGCTGCTGGTGAACTTGAACTGCCAAAGGTGCAGCCTTTGGATTAAACTACACCCTAGAGCTCCCTAAAATGTCTCTCTTGGATTCACATTTTTCTTCTCTGTGTCTCTGTACTATTTTCCACCTTGAGTTCGATTTGGCTAAAAAAGATGGAGACCTCTAAAAACTTTCGAGCCATCAGCTATGCCTGGTTCAGTTGAAATGGATTTCTCAAAGCACACAACTGTCATCCCACATGCAAGACCTTGGCATATCATTAGTCACGGAAACCTCTCCTGGTCTACCTGTGCTTCTCAAATCAATCTACAGCTTTCCATTCTTACAGAGAGAACTTTCCAGTTAGACAATTGAAGCCCAAGGAAATCTGACAAAGTTGAGCAGACCCTCTATTTAACACAGGCCATGGTTTTTGCAATAACTTATTATGCATCAGAGAGTTGGACAATGACTAGGGAGGATAGAAGGAGAATTGACGCCTTTGAGCTGTGGTGCTGGAGAAGAGTATTGAATGTACCATGGACTGCCAAGAAAACAAACAGATTCATCCTAGAGAGGGTTAAACCAGGCTGCTCCTTGGAGGCAAGGATTCTGGGGCTTTGCCTGACATACTTTGGACATGTTGTAAGGAGAGACAGGTCTTTAGAGAGGGACATCATGCTGGGTAGAGTAGAGGGACAGCGCAGGAGGGGAAGACCCTCTATGAGGTGGATTGATTCAGTGACTGGGATAATCGGGATGGGTGTGTCAGAGGCAATGCGATTGGCACAGGATAGAGCAGGGGTTAGGGCTCTTGTACATAGGGTCGCTATGAGTCGCAAATGACTCGACGGCACATAACAACAACAACCACAACAACAACCACATATTGGCACAACATAAGTAATAATGTGGACTTTCAGTCTTTCACTCAACATGCATCCAAGGGCTGGATGAGGCACATTAACTGAATGAAAGTTAACAATATAATGACCATATGATCAAGCTCATTGCCTCTCAAGAGGCAAAATACAGGGATGAGTAACTGAAGAAGTTGAACATGATCAGAGAGGTATAGAGAGCTACGGGAGTTTAGAGAACAGAGGGACTTTTTTGGCTGGGTTGGGAAGATGGCAGAGAAAGCAACAGAAAAAAGTGAGAAATAAGGACAATTTTTGGAGGAAGTAGTGGGTCTGGAAGAGTTAATGGGATTCAGACAAGAAAAAAGGTGAGAGAATAGAAAAATCAACACCACACTGAAAAATTTGGTTTGCTTGAAGCAAACCACGGAGTTTATGAATACCTAAAAATAACATTTGGGACGACACAGAGAGATCAAGTTGAATGTATTGCTTTCTATACCAGGATCACTTAATCAATGGATATTGGTACCATTGAGCATATGATAATTAAAAATAAAATGTTAAGGAAAAAAGAGGAAAAGAAAAAAATCAGGGACATAAAACAGGGGTTGGGAGAGGAGAAAGTAAATAATTGAGGAAAAGAGTCACTTTGTCAGAAGTGACATAATGGCAGTAAGGAGAGTTGGGGTTTTTAGTTTATATGTAGATGTGGCTACGTGACTGAGTTCCAGCTACTGAAATATGAGCAGACATGAAGTTTGCCACTATTAAGCTTGTCTTAAAACACACACACATACACACACAGAGACAAAAATCCTTTCATGCTTTTCCTCCAAGCTCTTTTAACCCATTTGGGCTAATAATTTAGAAGCCACATGCTGACATGTGGGATCCTATGTGGAAGGGATCATAAGAGAAATAAACTCCCTTATGTTTGAGCCATCCTAAATTTAGGAACCTAATCATATCCACCAGCTGCTCCTCAGGAGAAAGATGGGCAATATCTTCCCATGAGATTTACTACTTCTGAGAAACCATGGGAGGGTCAGCCATGAGTTGGTTCCGCATAAATGGCACATAATATCAAAACCAATAAAGGGTACTGATTCAGTAACACAACTAAAGTAAAGCTACCTTTTCATTGCTGACCACTGTCAGTTCTCTAAAGGAGAAATAAAGGCCATTCAAGAGCTAGAACAATCTTCCTTAGTGTGTGTGGCTCTGAATAAAAGTTGGGTTTGCTCACAATCATTGGGAAAAGATAGTAACCTTGCCTTGGACTTGCCTGGGCTTGGACCACAGCCACAAAACAGGCTGAGTAAATTCCAGTGATGTCAGACCCTGGACGGTGAGCCTGCTTGCCTTACCTCCTCTCAGAAGAACAGGTCATGCCCTGCAGGCCCTGGACAAATGCCTCAAAGCTTCTCAAGTAGACTGCCCTTAGCCTCAGCTGTGCTTCCCTTGCAAAAATGTCACATAACATTGTCCCTGTTGTTTCTAGTGCCAGCTGGAGAGAAGCTGCCAAGAGCTTTTACAGATAGCCATGCAAACCTGCACTCAATAGAACAACGGCTGCACAAAGTGACTCGTCTTCTGAATAAAGCAGTTGACCAAATGAACAGAGATACACCCTTAGACAGAATAGCTTTCTCCACAGTAAAGCTCTCTTTACACTGAAGATGTGTTGGGCCATTCTGTTGTTTTTACTTAACTAACATGAGATACATCAAAGAAGACTCCTTTCTTTAATAGACTCGAACCATTGGGTAATTAAGTTGCATTAAGAGAATTAGTAGCATGAATAACCGCACTTAATTGCTTGTTTAATTCAGAGCTAGGAAATTTTTAAAAAGTTAAATTATTAACTTTGTCTGTCTCAAGAGCTACAAGATTCCTTGATCATTAATTTTTTGGAAGTGAAAGACCCTTTTAAGAATCTAATAAAATGCCTAGCCCTTTTCACAGATATGTTGTTGTTGTAGGTATGCTGTAATGTATGACTCATAGTAGCCCTAAGAACAATAGATCTGAACCTTGCTCTGTCCTGTGCCAGCCTCACAATCTCTTGAGCCCACTGCGGCAGTCACTATGTCACTCCACCTGGCTGGGGGTCTTTCTCTCTTTCACCAACCCTCTACCTTTCCAAGCATGATGTCCTTCTCCGAGGAACAGCCTCTCCTAGAAACATCCCCAAAGTATGTGAGATGAAAGTGCAGCTAGAGTGCTCCTTGGAGACTAAGATGATAATGCTTCATCTTACATACTATATATATATTTGGAAGCAGGAGTGGCATCCACTTCCTAAACAACATGCTGCTAGAAGCGCTATGAACTTTGATAAATGTCAATAGTTATAGAAAGGCTTCAGGTCTTTTGTTCATAGGGTCACTATGAGTTGTGCTCCATTCAGCAGCATGTGTGTGTGTGTGTGTGTGTGTGTGTGTAGGGGTCTATGGTACAGAAAGGGTTAAAACCCCTGCTCCTGCTCACAGGTTCTGAGCAGACCCACCCACCCCATCAGCCACAGCATCTCTTACCAGAACATTGACATCTTCAGTTTTGTGGATGAGCGTCTGAATCTCCTCTAGATCTCCACTGAAGATTGCTTGGACCAGTGGTGGCTGAAAACACAGGAGAATGAAAATTAGCACTTTAATTAAACACACTTGATTGCCTTCAGATGTGCATGGCTAATAGAGGATTTGTTTCATAAGAGCTGCTCAGCAATCATCAAGAATTCATCAGAGAAAGATGAATGACTTGGGCCCTACCCTCACCAGAAGACTAGTGAGGAGACATTTACCTCAAGAAATAACTAGAGAGAGTAAAGGCAATGGGAAAGATTCAAGGACACCTGAGATCACAGGATGATGGTGGGCATAATTCAATAGGGATTAAGTTTCTAAAACATAACGCATGGCTATGACTGTATGGAACACTGTGAATGAAGCAAAGTGTGAAACAAAGTGTCTATGAATTTTGTATGCAAACCAATATCATTTTTTTTTAAAAAAAAGAAGTAACTATAATATGCTATGAAAGCCATCATGATAATCACATCTAACCTGGGGCTATCAACTAAAATGAGTGTAAAAAGAAAATCACTTGAAATTAACCTTGAGAGACCCATAAATTCCCTGTCGAGGAAAGCTCCACATATGTGGTTTTATGTAATGTTTTCCTAATGTTCCCCCACCTCTAATTGACAACGTTCCTTAGCAGCCTCAAATAATTCCATCAGATGTTAATGGCAGCTTTTCTCACCAACTGACACTTCTTTGTCAATGGCTGTAAAATCTTGGAGATCATTCCCTCATGCATCTCTAGGTGTAGCCAACAAGTACTGTTTTAGACATAACTGTATCTACTGTCCATTTAAAGGGATGTGAAGAGGAAGTAGAGAGCAAGGTAAGAGGCGATGCTCTTATTACAGAAGTCACTTATGTTAAACAAAGCCTCAACATACAGTAGGAGGATTTAGAAAACATAAGATAAAGAGCAGCTTTGCTGTGTAAGTGACCAAAATGGGACTTTAGTACTTAAAGTTTTGATAGCTTTATTTTATTTCCTCAAAACCTGGATTCTCACAGAGCAATGGGGAGGGGGGAAGCATTTGTTTTATGTACATGATGTGTTTCATGTACATGATGTGTTTCTTGTTATTAAACACTAAGTCAAGGGCTTGCATTCTTTTATGTTTTTAACAAGATGCCTCAGAGTGAATTTAAACCATTAATCTTTTAGTACCATTTTTATCATTGCAAACATAATTGTTGCCTCGATTCCATGTAAGGGGGGGATTCATAGTCTGTAATGAGTTGCACTACTAAGCCAAAGGCTGCATGACTCTGATAGTTTGGATCTATCCAGAGCACCGTAGGAGAAAGACACGCAGTCTGCACCAGATACAATTTACAGCCTTGGACATTGGGTGGAGGATACTGTGAGTCAGAACCAACTGACCAGCAGTGAGAGAGTGAGTGAATGATACAGATAAAGTCCATCACTCATTGAGGTCTAAGGAAGAGGCTCAACTGGTTTAGAACACCTGCTCCAGCTTGCAGTGAAGTTCAGCCCCCCCCCCCAAATTTCTTAAGAAAACCATCAATTTTTCCTTTTAGCCAAATGATTGCACAGTAAGCTTGCTTTCTATTAGAGCTGCAAGTTCTCTACTAATCGCTTGTATCATTAAAAGTTAAAGTGACAGAGGCTGTCACCAATAATCAGTAACCACAGTGGATGGTCATCAGCCAAGAAGTCCCCAGAAGATATGCCAGCATTTAGTTCCAAGTTCCTGGTGTGCTGCTTCTCTTTCTTGGGCTGATTCAAGATTACCAGCCTGGAAGAAAACATCCTGCATTCTAACCAGAAGTGAGGCTGGACACTAGACAGTAGGCAAGAAGGGTGAAATGATATAGCTAAACATCTGTCCACACTTGAGCATTCTAAATACAGCATGCCACTGAAACAAGTGTGAGTCTATTGTTAGTGACTAATAACTGATGCAGCAAAAGCTGACCACATGAAACAGCCAACTTATACGTCCAAGCCGAAACATTTCCGTAGGTAACTGATGGCAATTTCTTTTCATGAGGCCGTACATATGTTTTTGTAAAAGGATAACAAAGATTGTCTGAGTCATTAGATTTAGGCAAGAGTTTCTAGCTATATATATTTTTTTAATAAATTTTTCTTTTCTACTGATATACGGTTCATATACATTGTTTTTGACACGGGATATTTCTCCCATTTCCTTTACCCACCCCTCCTCCTACTCATCAAATTGTCTGTCCCTATGGTTACTCCCCTGACCATCCTCATCACTTTGCTCCTACCCTCTCCCGCTTGAAGCCTCATACCCATTTTACTAGTTATGTATTTCTACAATAATGGTCAGTATTTGTCCTTATGGGACTGAGTTAGTTCACTTAGCCTAATGCTCTCCAGTCTCTCCCAAATTATGTAATAACTTTCATAATCATTACTCTTGCATACTGCATAGTATTTCATCATGTGGATGTACCACAATTTTGCAATCCATTTGACTGTGGTTTAACATTTGGGCCGTTCCCATGGCTAGCTATATTTCTGTGGACCTCACTGTGTTATCTGTAAGAGTGCCATTCAGTATTGTTTTGTTTTGACTCTTTTGTTATTTTTTTAAAACTTAGGGAGAAGTTCACTCCCTTATAGAAAGACAAAATCTGTTCCCCTTAAGTAGAGAGCATGAGAAGCAAACAAAACACAGAGTTCACTTAAGAATTAAAAAAAAATTTAATAAACCACAGGGTGAACCAGTACTAAGTTTGAAAATGTCTTCTATAGTATAGGCAGCCAAGTAAAAGTCTATCAGAATATTTCCAATCATTACCAAAAAGTGAAATAGCAGAAAATCCCAACTATTAGTAAAGTTTTAAGCAGAAATGTACTAATTGGACACCAAATTACCACATCAGGAAATGTAAAATATATTATCTAATATTTTCCAAAATAAAAGCCAAAAACAGATATTAACTACAAGTTATTCAAAGACTAATTATCTAGTTTGCTGTCCTCTCCTTCCTGGGATGCCCTTGGTCATTTCTCTTCTCTTTAACACTCATTAGATTCTTCCTGAAATGATAAGTAGGGAGCTCTGGTGGCCTAGTGCAATCCCGAAGGAATGTAGTTTGAAACCACCAGCTGCTCTTCAGGAGAAAGACAGACAGTCTCCTCCCATGCAATTACTTGACTGGAGGGTCAATTACGGGTTGAATCCAACTTGATAACACACAACAACAACTAATGATGGGTAACCCAAGGAAAATGATACCAAACTATGTCACATTTGTTACTAGTTTCTCACAAAGGGTTATCGGGAAGAAAACTGAAACCACCATATCAATTACAGTGAAATGTGGAGGCAATGTTGATTTTCACCGATCTGTCATCTCTACCTCCTCTCCCATATCAGGGAAATTAATGCTATGGTATTAGACTGACCTAAGAGTAAAGCCTAGTGCCTCTGTTCTCTAAGATCTCTCAGTTAGCTTTCTCATCTGCAGAATGGGGTGACAAGAGGTGTCTTCTCAGATGGCCTCTCTGCACAGAGCCAGACACCTAGTATGCACTTAATGCTAACAATTTTTGAAGAATGAGTAAACAAGTTCAAACACCTTCAGAACAAAGTCTATTCACTTCAGAGTGAAAAGTGATCTAGAGAGAGTTCCTAAAAAAAAATCACAGAGCAAATAAATCAAGTCAGGATGAAAACCAGGATATGATGGTCCCTCCTTCCAGAAGAGTCACTTTCAAGGTGCAGGACAGCAGCCTATCTTGGCCTTTGTTTTACCCTCAGTAACCAGGACACTGAGGTAAATCTTTCATGTTCAAGGAAAAATAGATGATGAACTCCATTCCTCCATTCAGAGGAGCTCCATTCCACGATTAGAGAGTTTTAAACTGTAGTATGGCATTTCCACAAAGTCTGTGCTTTCTGGCAGCAGTGTGAACTGTGAATGGAATTAGGGGATGGAGAGAATGGGGTCACAGAAGCCAGCGAGAGGCTACTGCTGCAATCCGAGCCATCATAGGAAGGAACTTTCTGGTCTGCCTTTGTCAACTGGTTCCACAAGTGCTACTTACATGGATGCAGTAAAAACAACAGACAGTGTTTTCAGTTCTTTGATGTCAACTCTATTCCTGGATGCAAGCTTGGCTCTGCATCTTGGCTGCTTTCCTTCACTCTTTATATATATCTCAAATCTCCTGCCCCAAGACACTAAATGTATCCAGGTGAAATCGAGGTCACTTCCTCTAGTTCCTGGAACACTTCCATTCCTCTCCCCCCTGGCGCACACACACAGAACCTCAGTGGAAGTAACTCTGTTTTGTCAGACTTGTCACTTGATCACTGAATTTAAATCATAACATTTCAAAAATAGGCCACATCCATAAAGAGGAAAGCAAAGCAAAACAAGGCAGAGAGATGTTGCCAAATGCCATATTTTTATCCGGATCTGCTGCCAACTACCCACATATTTTTTTTTCCACTCTGTCTAGCTTCTATGGCTTGAGATCTACTCTAAAAACTGTAGCTAAATTAATTAAATAGTGTTGGGAAGCTAACTTTTAAACAAAGTTAATCCAATCAAGAGTACAATGGATATAAAAGGTTACACTTCATAGCATACTGAAATCAATGTAACTTCAATGACACAAGATGAACAATAACGCATACTTCTCCATGTTCTCTATTTTGAAAAGCTGTAATAAAAAGGTTTATTTCCAACCTTGGATTCGGTTAGATTATTAGTATAAATGTCTCTTATAGCTTATTAGATTCATGTGGTTTCAAATAAGAGCAATGATTTCACAGTGTTAATCCACTTGAATTTATTTTAAGGATCCTGGGGTGGGGGGGTGGAATTATATGACTAGAAGATAATTTCCAGGCTAACATATGAATTCAATGTAATTCTTCAGTTCAGATATAGAAAGCCATTTTTAGTTTTAGGATGCATAATTTAAACACGAGTTTAAAACTGAGAACTACTTTCTGTATTTGAATGAAGACATTTCACAGAATACCTGGTAGGTACATTTTCAGGAAGCCCTCATGGGATAGTATTTTACACATTGGGCTACT